TCTCTATAAGACATCCCATTTGTTTTTAGCAAGCAAAACCTTGAATCCCTCAGGTAAGCCTGTCTCTCTCCTCCCCTTCCGTTGCCACCACAGTACATGCTTTGCCTGCTTCCTAAGGGGAAGACTGGATACTCTGCATCTCCAGCTACATTCTCCACTGCAGCCCTCCAGCCTGAGAAAGCCTTGGCAGTACCTTAAACATACCCACACCTTCCTGGATGTCACTAGACATGGGTGCAACATTGGCAGGCAGTTCCCACCTGCAGCAGCTGATTCAGGGCCCCATTTCCTCACTGCTCATGGTCAGGAGGTCCTCCCCACAGCCTGGTGAGCAGGTGGGAACTGCCTGAAGTGCACAGATCTGCACCCAGTCATGGGGGTCCACTTCAAGCCTGTCTCTGATCTAAGGGTGAGCATGCCCTTTGCTGGAGCAAAGGAGGGGTCCCGAGGTAGGGGTTGGGGGTGCCCTGTCAGACCTCCTAGCACTGGCCAAAGGTAAAGTGTCCTATCAGTTCAACAAATGTCCTCCATGGAGCAGACCAGGGACGGCAACTCCTTGGCCCCAGGGGGCTTCTCTGCCCCAGGGGGCAGCGTGAGGGGTTTTGCAGGTGGGGGCAGAGCGCGGGGCAGGCACCTTCAGGAAGGATTCCATCGACTTGGAGGCCAGGGAGTTGCTCCGGAATAATGTGTTTGGCTCACCTGCAAAAACAAAGGAGCAGGAGAGTTACCCATGAGAAGCCCCCGGAGCACAGAGCCTGGCTTCATCCACATGAAGCCTGGCACATGCTGAGCAGAGGCAGGCCAGGCAGTTTTGCACATAAACTTTATGGGCGAACTAGTCTGGGAAAACAAGAAGGGGCCCACAGCCTCATCTCAGAACTCAGCTTAAACCCACTTGATGCTTTTGGGGGCTTGAAGAGACAAAGGCAGCTGACACTCCCTCCCCTGAGCAAAATTATGGGGGGAAAAGGATTCACAACCCCATAACTGAGGTCGAGAGGGTCCCAGACCAACAGGCTTCCCAGTGACTCCAAGGCCATAATGTGCAGCGGTGCCCATGGCCTTAGGCCTTACATGTTTTGTCCAATTCTAGCTTGAAGAGAAGGTCCAGGAACTCTTTGGCCAACCCTTGGCCCAGAAAGAGCTTCACGAGGTTGATAGCCACTTCCTGCCTGCACTCGGCCGTGGTGGTCTCATCGATCAGGGTGATCAAGGGTATCTTTCCATCCTGGCAGAAGAAAAGTGGGGGCTGTGGGGAACAGAAGAGGCCAGAACAAGCCCTTTCCCCTCAGAGGAGGGTGTCATATTCCAGGGGGGCATTTCTGGATGCTGGAGCCCTGATGAGTGAAGGTTGCAGGGCAGATGCAGCATTAGCATCAGCAGAGCCAGTGTCACCAACCCTGCCAGGCCTGACAGGGTGGCTTGGAGCCTTGCACTGAGCATGCTAAATGCACAACCCTCCTTCATATGAGTGAAAGAAGTCATTCCTCAGCAGGCACCTTTCCTCTTATAAGGCCAGTCACTGGGAGAGAGCCAGTCCCTCTCCTTGGCATGTGTCCTGCCATCTTCCCCTGTGCAGCTTTGCCCATTTTCCTCTATTGGAGTGTAAGCTCTCTGGAGCAGAGGCCAGCTCTTCCCTCTGTGCTTGTGCAGCCCCTTGCACTGTGGGGTCCTAGTTTGCAATACCCTATAGTTATATTTAATTACAAACAATCAATTTTAAAGGAACTGTGTCTAGGAGCAAGGGGTGGTTTTTCCCTCTAGGCCCATTAAATGCTCAGCCTGGTGAGATGTCAGGGACATTGCACGAAAGCTTGTGGGACAGAGGCCATGAGGAGGAATTGTCTGTCACTATGACCTGGAAGGGGAAGGCTCCACAGCCCATCGCCAGCACTCAGAACGGCATGCACCCTGCTGGGACCACTCAGTGGCTGCTGGGGAGCCCTCAGACCATCCAGAGTTCCTCAGGACATTACGCCTGCTTCAAAATCTGTTGTGGCTTTGTCTCCTGGTGCAGTTTTAGTAGGAGGGGGTTGGAACAGCTTTCCAAGAGATGGGGGGACCTGTCTCCTGAAGCCTTCACATCCAGGCCAGGATCTCCTCCAGTAGCGATGCTCCAGGTTAGCCTCTGGTTACTGGGCTAGGGCAGGACCATTTGCCATTACCCAGACCAGGCAGGAGACTCATAATGGTCCCTTTTATGACTGTAAAGTCCTGCCTAGAAGTGGGCATACACCTCAGGTGCCTCCCATATTTGGCAGCCCCACAGTGCCATCCTGTATGGGGGGAGCGGGTGCAGCCACCTCACCTTTGGTCCCATTTTAACTTCCTGGCAGAGCAGCTGGACCAGTGGCTGGTAGTAGCTGGAAGGCAGCACTGTCTCATCCCGCAGCCTCACCTGCAGCTGCAGGGAGCCCAGGTTGCCTCTGAAATAGACGGAGCAGAGAACCACAGTGAAGGGATGCCCTGCATGTCACAGCCCAGTAAGAGGCCAGTTCCCTGTGCTCAGGAAAGCTATTGACTGCTGCTCCCTTACAGCATTGCTAACAAGGGCGAAGAAACAGGCATGGGGGGAGAGCGCTCCCTCCTCACTCATCTGTCCTGCTCCATGCTTCTTGGGGCCCCTGGCACAGCAGGACCAAGGCAGATGCAGAGAGAGGGCCCCTTACTGAGATGCCCATGCTACTCCTGGCAGCACGGAGTCTCAGGGAGATGTGGGGCCAGTACTGATGCAGAGGGGAGTGCACCCCCTATTGATGCCGGCATGACCACCATGCAGCATCAGGGGCAGCACCAGGGAGCAGAACATCAGCATTCCCCGACATCTGGTGGGAAGAGCAGTCAGCCAGGTCTGAATGCTCGCGTAGG